TGGGAAACTAATAGAACTAAATTTTTAAAATTTTGCACGAAAAACTTTAATATTCATCTGAACATTTTGGAGAAAAAAGGGCGGACTTTCATCTGGGGGGCTTGAATTAAATAGAAAAATTCGTATATCTGAAAAACTATTAGAGCTAGAATCTTCAAATTTTACTGAAGAACATTTAGAGAATAACGGGCGGACTTTCAATGGGGGGCTTGGCACTTCCCATATGAATTTAATACAAAATTTTGTATATCTGGGAAGCTATTACATTATTCAAATTTTTCATAGATTAAATTAAAATCTTAATTAACGTTCGGAATAATTGGCGAAATTGCAATAATTTGCGTGGAGTCTCCCATATGTAACAAATTGTATATCTGGAAAACCATTGTATCCATTAGAATCATCAAAATCGTTAAGTGGGTTTCTTATTTATATTGCTTTTAGGGTAGCACAGCACACTGGGTATAGCTATTAAATAAACAAATAAAAAATCTTTGTTTTTACGTTATTGATCATTTTCTTAATGCAAATTTTTTTAGAAACTGATTTTCTGCATTATGTTTTATATGGAGGATAGGGTTAAATATCGGTAGATCCTATTAAAACTTGGATAAAGGATTTGTTTTTAATTTTTAAGAATTTTTTATTCATCCCTGCATAATTTCTCACACAACTTTTGAGCTTGCTCTGTTTTGGTGTTATAAACAATATATTTGCTTCCAAAATCCCACTTTCTGATCTCTCGGATTCCGTTTTTATTTAAAATCGTAGAAAAATTAAAAACTAAACGTAGTTGAAAACTTAGCCGGCTTACAGTCGATTTTAATCCGCCGCCGACATATTTAGTGTCAAACGCCGCCGCCGTTAATATTTGTCGGCGCAGGGCTCTGTCGTAAACATTTGCCGAAAAAGTCGTCATCATTGTAGATAAATTAAAAAAAGAACTGGATTTTCCTCCACATACAAACAAAAATAATAAGTAAAGTTTAAAATTAATAGACGGCTCAGCAAAAAACCGATATATTGCGTAAAAACAAGAAATTCCTAAGAAATCATGTCTAAATTATTGGGTGTGCCACTGAAAAAGCCCTCCGAAGTTGATGTGGAGAAGCCCCTAAACAATCTTATACAAAGTACATATAGTGGAGCTACTGCTGAGGCAAAAGAAACCTATAAGACGGCTGTGCAACAATTTGCCCGTCAACGCAATTCATCGATATGGAAATTTTTCGAAAAATACGAATCTTCCTTGGAAATAGTATATGCGTAAGTAAATAATTTCTTCCAATTGGAATTTTTCTGACCAGGGTTATGTAGAAATAAAAGGAAAATTGTGCCCATAACATTAAATGAGTCATATATTTAATAAGCCATAGGCATGACGTCGTTATAATAAATTGACTGCCAAACAAAAACAATTGTTATGTTATTAATCATGGTACTATAAAAGTAAAATAAAAAAATATCAGCACTACTTTAATTTTCGATTTGTTTACATTATTTACTATCTAAGGTCTTATCTCTTAAAATATTTTATTTACTTTAGCTACTATGATCAGATTTGTATGCTGGAAACGAAAATACCAGTCAACGAACTACAAATACCCTTCAAATGGAAGGATGCTTTCGATAAGGGTACAATATTTGGTGGAAGAATAAGTTTAAGTAAGTTTTAATTACCGGCTGCTTCAGATAAAGTACATACATATGTAATTCTATTGATTTTTTTTTAAATAGCCCATACTTCGTTGTTGTATGAAAAAGTATGTGTACTTTTCAATATAGCTGCTTTGCAAAGCCATGTCGCTGCTACCCAATCTATGGATAGCGATGAGGGTCTTAAATTGGCTCTAAAGCTTTTGCAACAAAGTGCTGGCATATTCCAGTATTTAAAGGGTGCAGTGCCAGCAGCTGTACCATCAGAGCCGACTCCAGATCTAAATCAGGATACATTAACATGTTTGCAGGCTTTAATGATTTCTCAGGCCCAGGAAGTGTTCATAATGAAGGCAATTAAGGGTAAGTCCAAACACTCTGTGTTGATTAAAAAATGATATATTTCACTGTCGGTAGGTCCGACACTACATTTCACTTTTATAAACTTTTCTATTAATTTTAGACAACATGAAAGAAAATATCATTGCAAAACTTTGCTGTCAATGTGAAGAATTCTATGCTGATGTTTTGAGAGCCATGCAAAAGGAGTCTGTACGTTCGTTGTGGGAAAAAGAATGGATTCCCACCATAGCAGGCAAACAAGCTGGTTTCCATGCCTTGACACAACTCTATCAGAGTTTAGCTTGTCGTGCGGCTAAGAAGATTGGTGAGGAAATTGCTCGCCTACGAAATGCTGTAGATCTGTTTAAAGCAGCTCAAACTAGATCCGGCAATCCCACGTATTTGGAGGAATACTTTAATAAGGCTAAACGTAATTTGGCCGAATCAACAAAGGACAATGATTTAATATATAATGAAATGATACCAGATATAAATGCTGTAGCTTCACCGGGCAAGGCGCAGCTGGCAAAGCCATTACCTATAGCCACACCAATGGCTAAAGATTTCGATGATATATTCAAGGAATTGGTACCAGTTGAATTACATCGTGCCTTGCAGGCTTCCGATATGCGCAAGAATGAAATCATCAATACGGAAATAATGAAATTACGCGAAGCTACACAAACTTTGAATGGTGTATTGGCTAGCCTTAATTTGCCAGCTGCTGTTGAAACTACCGATGGCGGTTCTGGCTTGCCACCTTCATTAATCGAAAAAGCCAATGAAGTTCGCCAGAAAGGTGGTATTGAAAGCATTCAAACTCATTTAAAAGAATTGCCCGAGTTGTTGAATCGCAATCGTGAAATTTTGGATGAAACCGAAAGATTGTTAGATGAAGAACGTGATTCCGACAATCAATTGCGTTCACAATTCAAAGAGAAATGGACTCGTATCTCATCCGATAAACTAACCGAAATGTTTCGTACCAATGCCAAGAAATATCGCGAAGTTATTAATAATGCTGTAGCGGCTGATAAGATTGTACGTGAGAAATTTGAGAAGAATCAAAAAGGCATTGAACTTTTGTCTATGCCTATCGAACAATTACAACAATCCATGCCAGCTGCCGGTGGCAGTGTAGACCCTAACTGTGCCAGTGTGCAAAAATTAAAACAACTAATGGAAGCTGTTGAAACCATTAAGGCCGAACGTGATGCCATAGAATCTGAATTGAAATCTGCTACTTTCAATATGAAAGATGAATTCTTGGAAGCTTTACGTAAAGATGGTGCTATTGATGAGCCAGCTTTATCGCTTAAGCGTATCGGTGAAACCCTAAATCCCTTGCAGGGACAAGTTAAAGAAAGTGTTGAGCGTCAACAATCTTTGGTTACTGATATACAGGTAGCTCATAGTGAATTTGTAGCGGAAACTGGCTCAAGTGGCAATTCACGCGATACTTTGTGTCAAGAATTGGCCACTGCTTACGATAGTTTCATTGAGTTATTGGGAAATCTTAAGGAGGGTACTAAATTCTATAATGATTTGACCGAATTACTGGTTGTGTTCCAAAATAAAATATCTGATTTCTGTTTTGCACGCAAAACCGAGAAAGAGGAATTACTCAAAGATTTGACAACCGAATCAAGTCGCCAGGCACCAGGACCTACACCATCGTTGCCATCACATTATTCCTCAACTTCGGGCAGTGGAAGTGGTAAGTAACATTGTTTATTATTTGGAAAACGCTATTTGCTGAAGTTTTTGTGAAAATGTAAAATTTTATTCGCCAATGGTAACCGCGATGCGAGGGCCTATATACCATCGTTATTATGACATCCTAATGTTAAGTATGATTATGACCTCAGAACTAGTCATTAACATTGTTGTATGTTATTTGCCCATCTTTGCGTGGATAGGCTGATTGTGTATTCCCGTGGAACCAAAATTGAGAACAAAAATGTTAAACAAAAAAGGTCGAAGGATGAAAAGGGTCCAGAATTTAGGAAGGCACAATTCGGACGTTATGGGAACATGGGTTTTTAGGACAGTACATAGAACAGAGATTTTACACTTACGTCTGACTGATTTGAATGTAAAGTCTTCTGATGTCGCCAAATGACTCGGAGAAACTGAGGTCACTAAAAAGATGGCTAAATAATATAAAGATGGTCCTTATATTACTTTGCGAAATTTATTTATAAATGAAAAGTTCAGCATACGTTTTCTATAAATTAAAAAAGAGATTTTTATTAATATTCTATTTTACATTTTTAATTTAGATACCCCTTCGGCAGCAACATCAGCACCAGCTGCACCAACTGCTGCCGCCGCTGGTAACATACCCTATCCACAAGCTGTTCAAGGTATGCCTATGCCATATGGTGCTGGACCCAATGTTCCATATCCATCATATGTACCACCACCAATGCCACAAAGTTTCAATCCTTATGCTACATTACCATATCCAGGAAGTAAGTGGTTATCACCTAAACTTTAATTGAACTTTATTAAATGTTTAACATTATTTTTTAGATGCCTATCAATATGCTGGTTTTCCACAAGGACCACCACCTGGACATTATGGCACTTACCCTGGCAGCTTTGCTAATCAGCAAGGAGGTTATCCCAATCAAAAACCACCAGGCTGGTAGACAAATGAATAAAAGCATTTTTATGAAACTTTATTATTTTATTATTTCATTTAAGTTTATGTATTATCACATTTTCTTTTGCTTTAATTCAATTAATGAATTTTTAGATTATTACAACCTTTAGAACAAAATGAAATTTAAAATTATACACCCTTATTGTTTTAGTAATTATTAATATAATCATTATTTTTGGTGTTTTTATTTATTATTATAATTATTTTGTTTTATTATTGGCTTAAAATTATGTAATTGTTTTTAAAACAAGTAAAAAACACATTTCTAACATATTTTAGAAATTTGCTGCAAGTATGTATTGTGAATTTTATAGAGTTAAAACATAAATATACCAATAAACATTTAGAAAAAAAAATGGTAACAATTTATTTTTATTGCTTATAGCGTTTGAAAAATTCTTTCTTAATTGCTTCTACTATTTGCGGAGCACAAATACTATCAATTAAAATTTCTTCTACAAAATCTAAACTATTTTCTTTACTATTACTTTCAGCATTAGCCGTATAACGTAATGTATTTGTTTTTAATAAATTTTCAAATTCTGTTGCTGACATAGGTGTAACTTTTTTAATATTTTTAAAGTTTTGTAATAATTTTTCCACATTATCTTCTTTTAAATAATAATAATCATAAACAGTTTCACCGTTTTTCTTAGCTGGATAATTTTCCAAAGATTTCTCTAAGAGATATTTTAAAATTTCAAATAATTCTTCTTTTGTGTTAAAGTTTAAAAGCTGAAAAATAAATTTTAAAAAATATTAGTACGTAAATGGAAATATGTAATAATAAAACTTACCTGATTTGGATTCATAATATATTTCTTGGTTTCGTCTGCATAATCTTTTATAAAGTTTTCAATTAAATATTTTACAATACATTCCTCAATTTGTTGTTCCAAATCACATTCCAAGGGAATCCATGCATTAACGCTTAGCGATATATCTAAAGCTTCTACATAATGCCACCAATGTTTGGGTACAATTAAGACATCATTTGGTTCTAGTATAATATGGTGTGCTAGATTTTTATATTTTTCCACGTACTCCTTCACATTTAGCAACGGAGGACAATAGAAATTTTCTTTACAATAAATGCTGGACTCTTCATAAGGTATGCGAGTAGTGGTAAGCTTTGTATTGGGTGGGAATAATAACCAGGATTTTCTAAAAAAAGGAAAACAAGTTAGAAAGTATAATCTCTAACACGACTAGTAAACAAACCAGACTAGTAAATAAACCAGCCAATAGTACAGTTAGTCATCTAGTCAATGGACTATTTCATAATACCTGAAACGCAAACGGCCTTAACTAAACAAAAATATAAAATCGATTTTATTGTTGATTCTAATGTATTGCATCAAAACAAATGTCCAACAAATGTTAGATAGGGCCGTTTGCGTTTTAGGTGACTAGTACTTAGTCCAGTCAATAGACTAATCAATACTAGTTCACACCCAATCAATAGATAAAAAATTCAGTTATTTAGTACTCTTTACTTCAAAAATATTGCTAAAAGTTAATACTACTTCATGCTTGGTCTCTTCTATTTCGATTTGATGCAGAACATGCTGCTGACTATATCTTAAAAGTTAATTGCAAAACATGTTACCTTCCGAAAATTTGCACCACTATATTACAGCCATAACTATCATAATGACAAGGAGTATTGGCACCTTTTGAACTTAACCACAAAGTGCTGTCATCAGCCGCCTGTGGAAATCCAAAGGCGGAAAAATCTATACCACTCGTACATTTAGCTGGTAGTTCATGTCGACGTTTATAATTCAAACCGGACCAATAATCACAATCTTTGCTATGTTCCTTTAAAAACTGTCCGGCAGTCATTTGTATTGTTTGTCGTTTACGTTCCCATTGCGGTTCATCAGCAACATTTTTTGTTATTCGCTCAAAATTTGCTGCACAAGATTTTAGCGCATCAAATGTTTTACACCATTCCTCTAGGCCATCTTGGAAACAAGCCCAATTAAGAGGAAATTGTTTAAAGACAACCGGCAGTCTGGTATTTAAAATAATTTCTCTAAAATTTAATGGTTTTATATCGTTTTTGTTCATTTTGTCGATATAATTTGTTATATGTAAATGAATAAGAATACTTGTAGCAAAACAAATTGCAAAAAATGTAAACAAAAAACAGCTGTTTGGTGGGAAAAAACTCTACAAAACATGTAAATGCTCGCAAAAAAAAGGAAATTTAATATTAAGATGGCAGTTTACCGTTAGTTTTTATAAAAACCTTACAAAATCTTTTCGCGTCCGGAGTTTTTTCCTTAAAATAGTGTTAAAAAGTAAATAATAATTGTGAAAATAGCTTAAAGTGTTAGTGGAAACGTCTTGTTATATAAAGAAAATGAAGGTTTTGTAAAAAACTATATGGTTTATTAATAAAATTAAAGTGTTTGTAAAAATTCTGCAGCTGTATGCTGGCATTTGGCAATGTTTTGCAAAGTATGTGTGTATTTTGTTTACGCTAAAAGTAAAGCTTTATGTTGATTGCTTTACAGTTTTATAATTAAATTAAAATGAAATCGGCTTGAAATTAATTTAAATGCAATTTTTATTAAGTGTAAAATATTTTTTATGAAGTGAGATACATGTACAAGGAAAAATTGCATATACGAATGTTTGTGTGTGTGTGTGTGTTCATATGTAAACTAACAGAGAAGTACAAAACAAAATAAAAATGTCTCCAAAATGCAGAGATGTCTTCAGCACAAAGACAGTGATGTTCTACAAAATAATAATAAATTTCTCGTTACATTTTAAATGATTTGAATTTAAATTCAAAACATAATCATAAAAATATATTAGTTGTT